GTGCAGTCCTGCGAGCGAGCTGTGTGTGCTTGCTAACCTGAGAGAGCGTAACTCACTGTGAGCCTGCTGAGCAAGCCGTGGGGGTATGCAGGCCCAGCAGCTCTTTCGTCTGAGCTCCTGCAGCTCAGTCAGAGCCTATGGCTCTGCGAGCTGGGACACATGTCTGCCTGGAGAAACGGTGAAGGCAGGGGATAAATGGTGTTTTTCAGTCCATTTCTCAGGCATGCTGTAATTGTGTCTAGACAGGCAGTACTTGGATGCCTGCCCTGTACCTTGCAGGGGGGGCTGCTGTTCCCAGTGGGTTTTGGCAGCTCTCCTTTGTCTCCAAGGGGTCTTAACTCTCCTCAGCTACAGTAGAGATGCTTCCTGGCTATTCTGTCTGCTGGCTCGTTTACAGATGGCATCCAGCATAGGTGACCTTAGGTATCCCATTCCTGCTGCCTGGTGGAGCAGAGTGAAGATGAGCACAGACTGCAGGACCCCTTGCTGCACCTGCACGTCTGCCCAGCCACGCTGTCAGAGCAGGTCTCCTGAGCCGGGAATTATTTACAGCCTGCGGCGATCTCTGAGCTCCCTCTTTCTCTCTGCGGGAGCGGAGCTTTCTGCATTCTCCAAAGGCTCTTCTAATGTGAATATCAGCATGTAAATGAAACCCTGTACAACGCCTGTGGTTCTTCAGCAGAGCACAGGATCACGGCTCACCTCTCCTCTTCCAGCCAGCCGTGAAGCCAGCGGAAAAAAAACAGCAGAGAGGAAAACGCTGTAGAAAATGGTTAGGAGGAGGCATTTCAGTTAAAAAATGAGGGAGTGCAGATTATTCTACTGCAAATAATGAGTGGGGGGTTGTGAAGCACAGGTCCTTGGGGGGCTCCTCATCTATCCCTCTGGCTTGCTGGGGAGGGCGGGGGCCATCAACTGGTTGCACCTTTGATTGCTTCTGTTCCTTGGCCTTTCCTGTGAGGCCACCTGTGTTCATATTGCCACAGTAAAACTGGGCATGGACTTCAAAGCAGTACTTGAGGGAGGGGGAGAGAGAGATTGTTTTCTTTTGGAGTTGTGTTTTTGTAATTGTGGGTGGGTTTTGTGGTGCTTTTATTTTTTTTTTTGTCCATAGCAGGTTATAGTTCAAGTGGTTGCTGTCAGTTCTGTGATCTGATCAAATCTTAATTACTAAATAAAGGACCATATTTTTAGATATAGAACTTTCCCCAACCCTCATAGCTGTGTGGGTACCAAAATACTGCTTGGTCTTCTGCTACACCTCCTGTTCCTCGCCTCTGTCCTGAATCGCCTTGGGGATCACTGCTTGAAGAACAGGTTGGAATTCAAGTAAGATCAGACTGAACATGACACCTGAGAGATGCTAGGCCAGGGCTTGAAATGAACCTAGTCACCCTTTAGAAGATCTTTTCCTTGTTTCCACCTTTCTGGCAACTGTGTATATAAAGCAACTGAAACTGGTCTCTGGTCATCTGTGTTATGAAGCATCTTAATGAGAATTACTTGAGCAAGAATCTGTCCACAGGTTGATTCACTCGATTGATACCCCCAATATCCTGTGTGCCGAGTACCTCCCGTGCTGTCCAGCACCTTTGAGCAGATGGAGTAACTACCGCACGCCTGCCTGGCGTAGCTGGGAAACTAATTGACCATATTTGCGGAATTCTTCTGCTGGAAATGCTTACACCAGCTGCTGATTTCTTTCCCAGTTGCAAGTAAAATGCAAGTAATAATAAAGACCTCTTGTGGGTGTCCAGGCAGATGATCATTTTGTACAGGGAAAGTGTTAAGAGGGCTACAGGTGAGAAAGGCTTATGGAGGGGCTATGTTCACCACAAAGGTACCAAAACTTCCATTTAC